CTTTCTGCTCGTAGCACTGATACGCACCTTTTAGCCGTGCCAAATGGGGTAAAGAAGACACACACAAGCGTAAAAAGTGTATCGCTAAACTATCACTCATTTTTATGAGTGTAATGACCAAGATTTCGTCGCTGGCTTCGTCTAAATCAGTCCGTCCAAAAAGTGACACTAGTTTCTAAATAGTGACACACTTTTTACACTTATCAATAATGGGCAGGCTAGGATCTTTGCCTAGCCAAACATGGATGATGGCCCACACAAAGGCAAAAAGCACATCACTACTTGGACAAAATCTCACGACTTTCTCTGGGTGTACACGGCAAGATTGTGACGGTTGTTCGTGAGTTGCCGCCTGCCGCGGCTCAAAGTTTAAACGCAAATATGAAGAAAACCGCGCAGATTTCCAAGTTTTTGCTTTTGAGTTCAACCCCTTTTAAGAACAATAAATATTTCGAAATTACACTTCTAGTGGCATAAGTTTTAACTAATTTCAAACTTGTAAATTAGTTCAGGTTTTACGGAGCTGATGACACCGGCTGCTTGGTCCCAATTTCCAGCCAAGCTTATAGAGCGGCAGGCGTGGGGAGGAGAAGGGCTTGTAAGGGGACGGGTTTAGTTCATATCTTCCTTTAGTAATATAGCGGTTTCAGCGTTTATTAGGCCGTAGGCCTGTCGCCGATTCTTAACTTCGCAGAACATTCGAAGCATTTTGCGGTCTTGAACTCGCAACTCACTGCTACAATTCTGCTGTGCTTAACCGCCCGGCCTCCTTGCCGATTCTGACCAGAAACTGGCGCACAGAGCTGGGATCGAACCCGCGCCTCTCTGCTCCAAATATGGTACTCTGAACTTTATTTCAAAATTATTTATTCTGTCAATTGATTCATGCATTGTCTCCAACTTTACCCAAGTGTGCAAAATTACAGATCGATTGGACAGGTAGAAGTGTGTTAAATATCGATTATAAGTTTTTTGGCAGACAAACAAAGAAACAACAAGAAGTGAAGTTAAAGATAAGTGTTGTAAAAATAGAATTACTTATCTTAAAATTATGATATCATTACGCCCGCGCATTCAGAAAAATCTATCAAAAAAATGTAAAACAAACGTCGACACCAATAAAAAATATGGAATTCAATGAACCGATGCCATCACAAGTTATGCACGGGCACTGAACAACTGGTAAAGACTAACTATGGTACAACAATATAAAAGTGTATTCTGCTGTCAGAAAACCATCAGTAAAGTTAGTAACCGTCAGTCAGTAAATCTGGGGGTAACTGCAACAAAGTTACCTCTAGGAGCGTGACCCCGACTGTCACACTGCCGATATCTTCCAGCTCCTCAAAAAGGCTTCGAGAGAAATGGTTGCTGATATTCCAATGAAATAGCATCCAAGCCTCAAAAAGCGATAGTCCCAAGTGACTGCCACCTTCAATGAATATAGAACAGCTTAGCCCCTCTTCCTTGGTGGCAGCAGGTGCTTTGGGTTAGGTACTTTACATAGCTTGCTCCTGATGTCTCGTAAGTGCAAATGTTCCGAACTTGATTCCTGTGTCGAGCTCATTACATCCACATGCATCTCTACACTTAGGTAACTGAAGCAGTTTATGATGGAGCCTGGGGAGTAGATGCTGCTCAAACATGCATTTTTGACACACACGTCATCACACTTGAAGTACACCACGGGCTATTCCAGTTGAATGCTTGCGAAGAAAATGTCTTTCCAATTCCCACTTTGTGATGCAAGCATAATGACACTTTGAGCACTGAATAGGTTTAGTTGTTGAATGCTTCTGAAAAAAATGTCGTTTCAAGCCCCTTGTTGTGGTGCAGGCATAATCGCACTCCGAGCACTTTATTGATTTTTCAGCTGAATGCTTGCAAAGAAAATGTATGTTCAAGTTCCGTTTGATGGCACAGGCATAATCACACTCGGAGTACCGATGGGGTTTTTCAGTGGAATGTTTGTGTAGAAAATGCATTTTCAAGTTCGATTTGTTGGCACAGGCATAATCACACTCGGAGCACCGATGGGGTTTTTCAGTTGAATGTTTGTGTAGAAAATGTATTTTCAAGTTCCATTTGTTGGTACAGGCATAATCACACTTGGAGCACTGAAGGGGTTTATCGGTTGAATGTTTGTAACGAAAATGTCTTTTCAAGGCCCCTGTTGTGGTGCAAGCATAATCGCACTCGGCACACTGAAAAGGTTTTTCTGTTGAATGCTTCTGAAGAAAATGCATTTTCAAGATTCCTTTTGTGGCGAAAGCATAGTCACACTCGGTGCACTGAAAAGGTGTTTCTGTTGAATGCTTGTAAAGACAATGTCTTTTCAAGTTTCCATTTGTGGTGCAAGCATAATCACAGTCGGAGCACTTAAAAGGTTTTTCTGTAGAATGTCTGTGGAGAAAATGACTTTTCAATTCCCCTTTTGTGGCGCAAGCATAATTGCACATGGAACACTTAAAAGGTTTTTCTGTTGAATGTTTGCGAAGTAAATGTATTGTCAAGTCCCTTTTTCTGGTGCAAGCATAATCACACTCAGAGCACTTAATGGACTTTTCGGCTGAATGTTTAAACAGAAAATGTCTTTTCAATTTCCCTTTTTCGATACAAACATAATCACACTTGGAGCACTGAAGGGGTTTTTCTGTTGAATGTTTGTAAAGGAAATGCCTTTTCAAGTGCCCTTTTCTGGCGCAAGCATAATCACACTCAGAGCACCGATAAGGTTTTTCTGCTGAATGTTTGCCAAGAAAATGTATTTTCAACTCCCAGTTTGTGGGGCAAGTATGCTCACACTCAGAGCAACAAAACTTCTTCACTGATGAACGCTTAGAGAGGCAATGCTTGTGCAAGACTTCTTTGCAATCATTAGCATATTTACTTCCACAGTATTTCTGTGCATTTCTTTTAGGATGCAGTGAGAGAATATGTTGTTTAAGATCAGCTTCAGTAGCACACAAACTAAAACAGAATTGGCATCGGTGTTTACTTAGGCACAAATTTTTGTAGTTCATGCGCTCTTGCATTGATTTTCTTGTGGTGCCTAATTGTTCATTGTCAGGGAACCTAAATGATGTTTCCACGTGTAGCTTGGAGCTGGGCGCCCCAGAGTCGTCAACGTCACCAGCAGCATCTCCTGATGCCAGTGCTGACCCACCTTCGCCAAACTAATGAAAGAAAAGCAGAGTAAACAATCTCTCGTATTAATAACAGTCACATTAAACAGTTGACTTTCAAGTTTGATCTTCAGGAAAATACTCAAGTTGTTGCAAAAGAAATGAAAATTTGGACAAAAGTTTGGGAATTTTTGCCTAGTCAGTTCTGGTTCGTACAATGATTCCTCTGCCTCAGTACTTGGTCAGAGAAATAAGTGAGTTAATTAATATTGCCCGGTCTAAACTTAAGGCAATAAATTCTGGCTTTGCATATATAAACACAAATAAAATGCAATGCAAATTTTTACTCATGTAAAGTTAGACACATTAATTTCATATCATTCCAGATACATAGATTTTAAATTTGCCACATGTTGTTGTATCTGAAATATGACAAACTATCTATGAAATGTGACAAACTATTGTTATTGCCACACAAACGGGATTTTGAAATGCCAAAGACAAGGTAAAGTTATTGTATTAAAGGTAAACTGCTAACTTCTGCAGTGACGAATCAGAACGGGTAACGAATATGGAATAAGAAAGCAAACAAATTAACAAATTGGCTAGTCTGAAAGAAATATTAGCAAATTGGACATGAGAGAGCTATGACAAATGAGAGAGCTACGGTAATGCAAAAAGAGAGAGCTTGAGCTAGGAGTTTTGAGATTAAACGACTGATCCTAAAAACAGAAAACAGAGAATAAATACTTAAGGGACAAATCTATTTATGGTCACCAACAGCACGGCATTTCACAATGCATTAGAATTTCAACACAATTGCATGTAACAACTCACCCTGGCATTGGAGTTAAAATCCTATGAGAGAGGAACTAGTACGCCAGTCTAGATCAGCAGCTTAACTGACTGCTACCAGCAATGTAACACCCGTGTAATTCAACCAGTACTACCAATGCCACCAGTGCTACCCTTTAAAAAAGCCAGTAACAACCTCCACACCGAAGCCATTGACTCATATCACACACCAGAACTGCTCAACTGCGGGACTCCTCCACTACCAAATATAGACAAATCTGAACTATCACTCCACTGATCAACAAGATGGGCCCTGGCACAATTTTTTACTGGTCTCTGCATTCCATTAAACCGTTATTAAAAGAGAATCAACAATAATATCATTTGGAGAGACCCAGCTGTGACCGCGCATTGGTTGCAGCCTAGGCTGGGTCAGAGATGCCAGTAAGCTGGGCCAGCTCTGCTATATGTATGGATATTATATTCACCCAAGCAGGTCATGGACAGCCTCAAGAAAAAATAGCTACTGATGGGAACCCAAGCAATCCATTTTTGTCCCATGCTGTGTGGTGATATTACCAATCCCATCCTTGAATGTGATCCCAGATACATGAGAAAAGGTGAGGATGTTACTTTGAATACAACTGTTTCAAGCGCATTACCTCATCTTCATACACTACATTAACTAGATGTATTGGTAAAGGATTTGATCTTTTCACATGGAGAATCAAAGTTATTGACATCTATTTCTAAAGATAAAAATAATTAGATTTCACTTGCAGGATTAAATGTAGTGGTAAAATGACAAGTGTTCCCAGTATCACTACCAGTACTTGTAAATCCGCCTATTTTATACTTAACTGCCAACAATAAAATGAAACAATGGCAATTTAAAAGATTTGTGAAAATCTCTCAAAAATTTATTGTTCAGTGTAAATTAGAGAAAGGTGAAATTATTCAAAATACCTACCTGATCTGACAACAGAGCAGAAATGTTCTGTGAGGAGTTTTGGTGCACATTGCAAGCAGCAACTTGAGCTTCCATCTTGCACGGTACACAAGAGGAGAGTGCAGGTGCAGGGCTGAGATGTGCAGTTGAACAAGCCTGGGGAGATATGAATGACAATGTTTGCGTGACTGGCAGTGATGTGTGCATTTTATGAGGAATGATATAATATAGGAACTCTCATAGAATTCTCTGCAAGTTTCTAATTTCACAGCAGCATATGAATGTGCTGGCATCACAAATCTCTGGTTATAAAATGTCTTCTCATATCAATGCTTCATACTGCAAATATTTTATTGGCTTTTTTCAAATTCCTATAGATACATAGACATATGGGTCAATTTCAGGAAGAAAGGCACACTTTTAGCATGTTTTTGTTCAATAAAATTGGCATCATAAATGTATTAGTCATTTCTTTATTTGTAATGTATTGACGTTGCATCACTTGGGTTAAAAATGTGTTTCAATTGACAGGAATGTTCTCAGTACTATTCTTTTCAATTCTTTGCTCTATTCTTATTTATTCATTGACAAACAAGGAAGTAGCATTAGAACAAGTAAATTTGGAATTTTTTCAGGATTCCTGTCAATTGGGGCCATCACATTTCATTTTAATTTCACTATAAACAAATATGGGGGAAAATGGTGGATGTGGATTTAGAATAGCAAACCTAATGCAAGTAATTAGGAGTTAAATTTCCGCAACTTCTAACCAATTATTGAATGAAGCTATGGCTGCTTTGTACCTACAATAATTACTGCTCAATATTTCAGACGTAATACTGGGTTAAGATTTGTCTCCTCATGCCTAACTTGAAGATTTGAGCATGGAAATAGCATTCTGCATTGGAAATAGCATTCTGCAAGAATTTTAAATGCTCTGCTAAACATTTATTTGCATATCAACTCCACCTACCTCGTTTTCATTTACGAATGGTTCCTCTTTGATAGATATTTCCTCAGTTTCATCATCAGGCTCCTCCTTGATGAAGATGGCAGGAACTTCAAGGACTGGTGGAGGGTCAACCTTTCCAAAGGCTGTAAAATATATAGGCATATTGATCCACTGGTAGTAATTGGTTGATGAGCAAGATATCTCATGGTAAATGTAATGCTCATCAAAATAATGAGTCATTTGGGCCTTAGAAAAAAGTTGATATCACTCAGATGACTGAGACTCATGAGGTAACAAATTAACATACCTACATAGTTATCAAATCTTGTATTGAAACTCCAAAGAAATCAATATAGATGAAAATTTAATAAAATAAATACCACATAACCTCAGTAACTTATTTGAAGGTACCGAGATGTTTTACCTTTGCCTGTTCCTTTGAAACGAAATCCTGCTGAGTGTAGAGCATAAGCAGTGCGACGGCGTTGCAATTCTGCTTGATACGCTTCTTCATCTAAACGAGCGTTGGCATGCCTTTCACGATCATGCGCCTGGCGAGAAGCCCTCGCTTCTTCTGGCTCAACCGCACGAGCAGCAGCGTGTCGCTCTCTATCAGCTGCCTGGCGGGAGGCTCTCTCTTCTTCCGTAACAGACAGACAGACAGACAGACAGACAGACAGACGGACACGAAAGCGAGCTAAGAAAAACGTGGTAAAAAATCACTAATAAAGGGAGAGCACAGGCCGGGTTAGTGTGAACTTGACATTACCAAGCCAGCTGTAAAAATAGATGAAATTAATAATATAGCAAAGGATGTATAATTTAAGGAGCTGTGATTGAAATGATTAATTAGTAATCAAGCATTGCAGGGTAAAGTAACGGCAAGGGACAAAGCAAGCAGGGGATATAGTCATAATTAAATGGAATCAAACCAAATTAAGTAAAACCAAAGAACCAAAAGGGTTTGCAAGGTGAACACAGTTGAGAATGCAATGGCAGACTATTAAGTATAGTTGACTATTTGTTTAAGATAGGAATCATGAGAAAATGCAGTAGTTAATGTAATGAATCAAAGAATCATAATCAATCAAGAACCAATGTCTTATTTACAAAAATACAAGTTAATTAAAATACAGACAAAACATATATATATATATATATATATACAAGGGTGAACATTCACTAACCAGCATGGCTAAGCACGAGTGGTCAGGACTGTCAGACCGCTCTGTTACACAGCTGAGTGTCATTCATTTGGCTCAGCTTTATGAATAAATGAATATCTGTAACAGAGACTGAAACAGAAGAGGACAAAGACATTGAGGTGAGGTAAAAGCAAGGCCGGAGGCAAATAACAAGGATAAATAAGCACAAAAAAGGCTGTGCTACACAAGCCACAAAAGCCTCCCGGCAACAGCGCTATCTGTAGTTCCAAAGCACTGAGGTTGAAGTTTTTGATCTATGTAATGTTAGCAGCAATGTTAATAACACTGCAGGGATACAGGAATTCATAAAGTGCAATGGAGGTTCATAAGTAGACTTTAATTTAACATATGCAACAAAATTCACACGTCAAAAGTTACTTAAGCACATAATATTATTGCTTTATGCATGCATCAGCAATATTTGATGCAAACAACTCAACTACATTTGAATATGACATATTTAATAGAAACAGAAACCATCTTGAAATAGACATTAAATTCCACAGCATAGAAATCAAAGCCATGATTTTCAAAGAGCATTTTTGATCCAGTAAAGTGCAAAGAATATTTGTTAATGCACATAGCATGGTTCATTAATTTAGCAATGCAAAAACATTGCTAAATTAAGATGCTATATTGAAGGTGTTGAAATAACTAAGCTCTATTTATTCTTCATCACATTAGTAATTATGACCTAATAAACTAATCATCAAGCAACATTCATTGGTCATTTTGGAATAGATCTATTCACTTAAATAATTGACAATAATACATTAATGTGTTCAATGGTGATAAAAGTCATACTTATTTATACTTGCATACATTCTTCTCCATGTCAGAACTGAGTCAAGACTACTTTTACAGCAAAGTAGCATAAAAACATGGAGGTTATATCAAGTCATAGTGATTAATTGTGATTTTTGATTTCTTCACTATTGTAACAGTAAATTATTTGACCTTGAACTTTTGCTTTGATTTCCTAATTTCTTTTCAGCTCGGCCTTTTTAATTCTTCTTGGTGGCACAAAACAGATGGTGTGTATTGAGGCAGCATGATTCCTGTGTTGAATTATTGCACAACTAAACAATAATATTTTTCTATAATATGGCAGAAAGTTGATTTGACATAAGCATAGAGATGATAATTCTTTTTTTGCATTACACAACAGGCCATGGATGTTGTTGTCATTGCCCATCCTGGTAGTGGCAACTAGGTGAGGGTGGGATGATCCCGTCACACGGGGTACTAAGGGACGGGCGGGGTAATAAGGGACATTCCTCTGACATTTTGTAGAAATGTTGTAGTAGCTAAACTAATTGAAATATGTAAAATATGAAAATATATTGAAATGTATGCAGCATAAAGCAAGTTAATAAATCATAAATTTACTACCTCTAAATCTCTGGCTGCCATTAGGTGGTCACATTTCGCCCATTGGGGGCGGCGTCCCCATTTGCAAACTATGACACTTTTCTAAAATTTTTCTCTTGCATATGTAACTAGAAGAGTTCTACTACAATGCACCACAACCTTGAGTTATTTTACCAAAAAATAAAATTGATTTTACCACCCAGTCAAAGAAACCCCAGGAGCTGGGGTAACAAAGACCATCACTTTTTTTAAATTACATCAAAACTATGAGAGGCAGGAGCCCGCAATTTATGGTGAGTAAAGCTAGGGTATGGACCTGTATTTTGCATGTTTCAATTTAAGTTTAACTTTTCCAGTAAAAAATGGCATTTTGAAAAAAAAGTGGTCAAAGTTACACCAATTTACGGTACTTATAATTATTGAATAACAACAAAAAATATATAATAAAAGAAATGATAAAAAATTAATAATAAATAATTCATTCTATTTAAATATTTTTCAATTATTAAAAATAGTAATACAGAATGAATTTTATTTGTTGTTATTCAACAATAATAAGTATTAATTATTCAATTTTATAAAATATGATATAATTGAAGCACCCATATTTCAAGTCTAGAATGGCCTACATCAGGGTTGATGATTTTTATTTATTTAAAAAATATGAAAAAAAATTCAATGATTTTTTTTTATTTTTTCATGATTTTTTTTTATTTTTTCAGCTTTTTTGTCTTTTTGAAATGTTACTTTTTATGTTGCAATTAGCCTACTAACAATAACAGTATATGGATCAAAATGGATGGTTAAAAAGGGCAGTTATTGCCTTCAAGAATGGCCAAGGTAGTGTTTACCAGTTTACCACTTTGGTACTTTTGGGTAAACAATTATTGATAAGTCCATTCATTAGCTTTGTAAAGTTTGTATGGAGCAAGGTAACAAGCTATTTATTGACCATTTAACTGGCTTCATTATACAACACTTCAGGAATGCAGATCTTCTAAACATTGAAGAGTCACATAACAGATAGGTAGCTGATAACACAGTCAACAGTGCACAGCACTATCAATAGATCTACCAGTTTTATGTCCTATAAATCTACCAAACTCTACCCTCTAAACACAACGACTAGTAGTGACTGAGTGACTGACTGCACTGTTCCAATTTGATTCAGACCAATAAACCAATACTAAACATAAACTGAACGATAAACAAACAAACCTCAAAAGACTTGAAATGAGACTAATGTTAAGAGAAAAGCTAACACTGTTTGAAATAAACATATGCACAATTCAAACATTTTATTTCCATTCTCTGCATTTATATATTTTATATATAGGCAGTTTTATAATTGTAATTGTTTTGTTTCTAGTTTTAAATTGACATATTTAAAAATTGAAATGAAATATTTCAATTATAATACTCATATTAGGGACGAAAATCTTTCTAATTGCCTAAAATGTCAATCTAATCTCAACCTCTCAATATACAGGGTAGGGCAGAACCAATTGAGCAGTTTTGATGCAAAATAAAAGAGTACTGGAGGTACATAAAGAAGAAAATTTATTTTCCTCGAGGCTAGCATAACATACCATTTAGAATACCGGTACTTATGTTTTGAAAACAATATCAGGAAGATGTGTCCGTTAGCTGCAATGCACTGTTGGAGTCGTTCTTGAAAGTTTCCTACAGCACATTCACACATATGGCAAGGTGTGGCCATAACCTCTGCAATGTAGCAAAATTTCTTGCAGCCCAGAATGGAAAACATTGACAATCTTCATGTCATATTGGTCAACCATTTTAAAATCGGTTCTTTTTGTAGGTACAAAGATACTCTCCCTGTGCATATGCAAGCGTCCCTAGTTTATAAATATAGTTGTGCACGATGTGCATCTGCATACGTCGGGATGACGTCTTGCAATCTTTATTCTAGGGTTGCAGAACATAGGAGCAGGAGTTGTAGAACTGGTAACTTACTGTCGTGCCCACCTCATTTGGCTGTGCGGGTTCACGCCGAGCAGTGCGATGTTCTAGTTTCTGACAGTGACTTCAAAGTTTTAGCTTCCAGTTCCGGTGTTTCTGATTTGTGCATTTTAGAATCATTGTACATTTTTAAACAGAGGCCTAGTTTGAATTTAGCTTTTAGCTTTTACCCGCTTGAAATTGTAAATAGGTAGGTTTTGCAGCTTATGATTTTCGTTGTATTCTTGACTGTACTAATCACTGATTTATCTGTGTTCTAGAATTTCCGAACTGACGATGGAGCTGGACTCCGAAACATTTTCTTTAAAAATACTATGAAATTTGTGGAGTTTTCTTTGCTATTAAGTTTTTAGGAAAACATTGTTGAAAATGAAGCATTGGGAGACATGCGGTTCCAGCAGAATGGGGCTACAGCTCATACAGCCCAAATGTCACTCAATGTTTTGAGATGCATGTTTTCCAGACAACTGGTGTCTCTGAGGGGTAATTTACATTGGCCTGCAAGGTCACATGATTTGAGCATTTACGATTACTTTCTTTGGGGCCATATAAAAGAAAGGGTGTTCAGAAATCGCCCTCACACCCTACCACAGCCAAGGGAATGGATTATTGCAGAGGTTATGGCCATACCTCGCCATATGTGTGAACGTGCTGTAGGAAACTTCCGAGAACGACTCCAACAGTGTGATGCAGCTAATGGACAACACCATTTACCTGATATTGTTGTCAAAACACAAGTATTTTAAATTGTATGTTATGCTAACCTCAAGGAAAATGAACTTTCTTCTTTATGTACCTCCATTACTCTTTTATTTTGCTTCAAAACTGCTCAACCATGTATAAGCTAGCCAGGGTTGGTAATTTTTTTTTATTTAAAAAAAAAACAAGAAAATCAAAAATCAATTATTTTTTTATTTTTTCATGATTTTTTTTTTATTTTTTGATTTTTTCAGTTTTTTGTCTTTTTGAAGTGTTATTTTTTATGTTGCAATTAGCCTACTAACAATAACAGTATATGGATCATAAGGGATGGCTAAAAAGGGCACTTATTGCCTTCAATAATGGCCAACAAGCCAAGGTGG